CTCCGGTTTTAATTATAAGAATCGTTTGTAATTAGGATCGGAAATAATATTTTATGCTTAATTTTATATTTTTAATTTCAAAATTTTTAGTTAAGCCGTTTAATTAAAAATTTCAATTTAATATCTTTTAGGATACAACTAAGTTCTCTTAATACAATTAAGTCTGTGTTCATATCTCATCTTGAAATTTTGAATGAAACAGTCATGAGAGAATATCATAATATAACAAGATTTTATCCTTTCTTATTGAAACTTATTACCTCTTCTTTTTCTAATAAAATTTTGATTTTGATGGTGCAACAGATTCTTGAATGCTGGCATCTTCGGCAATGGCACGGAATCGTCTCACATGTTGCCTCACACAGCCACAAGAGCCGCTATGCTGGTCAGAATCAACACTCTTCTTCAAGGATACTCCGGCATCAGATTTGAGATCTTGGAAGCCATGACCAAGTTCCTTAACCACAACATAACTCCATGCCTTCCTCTCAGGGGCACCATCACTGCTTCAGGGGACCTCGTACCTCTGTCTTACGTTGCCGGCCTCTTGATCGGCCGACCCAACTCCAAATCCATAGGTCCTGACGGTAAAGTCCTCTCTCCTAAAGAAGCCTTTCAATTCGCAGGAATCAGTGGAGGTTTCTTTGAACTGCAGCCCAAAGAGGGCTTGGCTCTTGTTAATGGTACTGCCGTAGGATCTGCTTTAGCCTCCATGGTTCTTTTCGAGGCAAACATTCTGGGTGTCCTGTCGGAAGTCTTGTCTGCAATTTTCGCCGAGGTTATGCAGGGCAAGCCAGAGTTTACTGACCACTTGACACATAAATTGAAACACCATCCTGGCCAAATTGAGGCCGCTGCTATAATGGAACACATTTTAGATGGAAGCTCTTATGTTAAGGCAGCTCAGCAGCTCCATGAGATTGATCCTCTTCAGAAGCCTAAACAAGACAGGTATGCTCTGAGAACTTCTCCTCAGTGGCTTGGACCGCAGATTGAAGTGATCAGACAAGCGACAAAGATGATCGAGAGAGAGATCAACTCTGTGAATGACAATCCATTGATTGATGTTTCAAGGAGCAAGGCACTTCATGGAGGAAACTTCCAGGGTACCCCAATTGGCGTTTCAATGGACAACACTCGCCTGGCCCTTGCTTCCATTGGAAAGCTCATGTTTGCCCAATTCTCTGAGCTTGTCAATGACTTTTACAACAATGGGTTGCCTTCAAACCTCTCTGCTAGCCGACACCCGAGCTTGGATTATGGCTTCAAGGGAGCTGAAATCGCCATGGCTTCATACTGTTCAGAGCTTCAATTCCTTGCCAATCCTGTCACAAACCATGTTCAGAGCGCAGAGCAACACAACCAAGACGTGAACTCTTTAGGGCTAATTTCCTCAAGAAAAACAGCTGAAGCTGTGGACATACTGAAGCTCATGTCCTCCACCTTCTTAATTGCACTATGCCAAGCCATAGATCTGAGGCATTTGGAAGAGAACTTAAAGAGCACTGTGAAGAACACTGTGAACCAAGCGGCCAAGAAAGTCCTAACAATGGGTGTCAATGGAGAATTACTCCCTTCAAGATTCTGCGAAAAGGATTTACTCACAGTGGTGGACCGTGAGCATGTGTTTGCTTACATTGATGATCCTTGCAGCGCAACATACCCATTAATGCAGAAACTGAGACAAGTTCTGGTTGATCATGCACTGCAAAATGGTGACAGAGAAAAGGACTCAAGCACCTCCATTTTCTCGAAGATTGCAGCTTTTGAGGAAGAACTCAGGATCCATTTGCCCGGAGAAGTAGAAAATGCAAGAATTGAGGTCGAGAATGGAAAATGTGCCATCCCTAACAGGATCAAAGAATGCAGGTCTTATCCACTGTACAGATTTGTGAGAGAAGAACTTGGTACTGGTTTGCTAACAGGTGAGAAAGTGAGGTCACCTGGTGAAGAATTTGACACGGTCTTCACCGCGATGTGTGCAGGAAAGTTGATTGATCCTTTATTGGAGTGCCTCAAGGAGTGGAATGGGGCTCCTCTGCCAATATGTTAGGATTATGGTTTTAACCCATAAATTTTTCCTCAAAAAGTATATTTTTATCAATATAATATTATAGTTTCTGTATAATGCAAGGGTATAAAATGCTGCTGAACACGTTTGAGAATGTAATAATATCTTTTTTTTGATAGCATGTAATAATAATATCTATCATCTCTCTCTCTCAATTCTGTTCTGCACAAATCATTGTAATTTAGGCAAGAAAAGTGATCCAAATCTTACAAGACTCAGTTGATATTTGAGGTGCATGCACACACATATGAAGAGAGAGGGAATGGGTGAGAAAAAAATACATTAATATTTAATGCTTTTCTTAATAAAAATAAAAGTGAAAAATTTTATCTATTTAATACTCTCGTTAGTATGTGAGAAACTCTTACAAGTAAAAAATAATAAAGACTAAAATGGTACAAAGAGATAGTTTGAGTGTTTGTTTTGATTTTAAATATAAGATATTAACCTATTTTGTCTCTCAAATTAATAAATTTTTTTTGCATATATGAAATGGGGTTTTTCATCAAGGTAATGATCCGAGCCACATCTACTACAAATAAAGAGCTTATTTATTTTTTCAACCATTACAGACATCTGCAAATTAATTATATAGCTTTTGTATCTAAGAAACCGACGCAGTATGAAATAATTTACTTGATAACGGAAACTATGGAAAAGTCTCTATCCTTTTTGAAGGTGATAGAGTGACGTGCGGGGAAGGCGAATGTGGGGTAGTTGTAGGTGGTTAGGTGAATCGAGTTCTTCAATTCAACAACTTGTAAGCATATGAATCAAATTTATAAATATCTACGCATATGCATATTTGCGTAACATTCAATAAGTGGACATTTTAATGAATTAATTCATACGGCTGTGTTTGTATTGGCATTTTTTTTAATCATAGACAAGTTTGTTTTTTTAAAAAAAATTTTTAACTCCTGATAAGGACATGGGCTGATTGAAAACTAGCCACGAGTTTCAAGTAAAAAATTAGATACATACAAGTTTCCGAATTTTATTTATTACTCAGATATCTCAAGGGACCTAGGTGTGATTTGCAATTCTTGTGAAAAAGGCTTATTTGCCCCTCGATAAAATACATTAAATCTTCTCTAAAAAATTTTATTTCCTAAAATGATTGCCTTTGATTTTTTTACATCTTTATTTCAATTTCTTGTTATGAAAATGATTTTCTGAAAATTTAGTTCTTCATCCTATCAATTTAGTTTCGCATACAAGTTATCTTCGTTTTTCTCACTTTGATCATTTGATATTAATTTATATTTTATTGTTTTTGGATTCTCACAAAGAAAATCATTTTCAATAACATGAATAAATTTATTCTGATTGTAATTAATAATTGACAAATGTAATAATATAAAAAATTATTTGGATAATCTATTATGTAGTCACCATAACATAGCGTGTCACTGATTTTTAACTTTAGTGATGATGAATTAACACAACAACTTTATTAACTATAATTTCATTTATAAGTAGTCAAACTGAATAATCGTTGGACCAAATTAAGAAAATTATTACAAATGATTTTTGAATTTTCAGCCAACAATTTGTGACTCAGTTTGCATATTCCTTCCCTTTTGGTTCTAATGGGCTTCACGGTTTGGGCCTGGCATTAAAACCCAATCCATCAATAATTATGTGCTGGTCATTCGACGGCCCATTTGATCATTGGAATCCAACGAAAAGAATTACATGCATAAAAATTGAATAAGACAATATATGAACCCTGTGTTGGGCTGTTCTTCGTCCAATGACATTCTCACAAAGCAGTGCCCTAATGTGATAAAATATGAGAACATCATTCGTTGAGAAATTTACAAACACGCCAATCATCCTTCTCAGGCTGCTTCAATCCGATTACAGCTAGCAAGGATCCAACCTGCCAATTTGCCAAAAAGAATGGGGTTGAGCCAATCCGTCAGCAAACGATATTTTTTAACTTGCACCGTAAGACCAACAATCCACTGCGAGTTACTCCGCCAACCAATATTGTCAAACTCGTGAGTTGACTCTCTGAGTTTAACGTTTTTACGTTTCTAACTAACAAAATCATGTTGATTAGCTCTTAAACTTGTGATAATTGTAAACTTAGTTAAACTTACGAGTTCATTTATCGAGTCTACTATTTTTACGTTTTTAGCTTACGAAATCATGTCAGCTTATTTTTAAACTCATGCTAAATTTTTAAATTTGATTATGTTTAGTGACTTTATATATGAATTTTATAGAAATTTTTTTGTTGAATGTGATAAATTATGAACATTGATGGATATAATTTCAATTATTTAAATTAGAAATATATATAAACAAAATTGTTCTCATTTTTTATATATTAATTGTTTGATTATATACTTTTAATACCAATTTATTAATAAAAGCAAACTCTTACGAGTTCATGATTCGAGTTTACAGTCCGAGTTTATATCATTATCACGAGTTTGCTTAAAGTCGTGAGTTTGACAACCTTGCTGCCAACCCACGGCTAACCTACATTTATTTTTTAAATTTTTATTAATCCTTATAATTATATTATTACATTTTATATCCTATCTAAAAAATTAAAAAAAATATTTCAATGATTTATTTGGTGTTTTCACTCAAGCATTTGAAGAAAAAATAATTTTTTAAAAATAATTTGTTTATATTATATAAAAATACTATAATTTTTTTTCAAAAAAGTAAATAATAGTTAGCGGGTTAGTAGGTCAACTCATCAATCTACCATGACAGGTTATAATTGGCTAAAAGCTAGCTTGCTATCACATAGTTCTTTTTAACTCGGATTGTCTAACTCTAACCTGTAAGCTGGCTCCTATTATCACCCCTAAATTCGACGACGAAGCAAGTTGGGTGCGTCATTACATTTGCGCCAGCTGATGGTCTAACCGTGCCAATAATTTGGATTTGAGGCGTTAGTTACTCCATTTCTAATGCCCCTCAATTTGCCTCTATTCCCAATTTTTTCCTCCTTTTTTTCACTATGAGTAACACTTTGATATTTTATGGGCCAAAAATTGTGCTGTTTTTGATTTTTTACGGTTTTTCAAAGAAAATAACGCCCTAAATTGAAAACAGCACCAATTCATTACTATTTGTCTTTCATGCATGTTTTGATATCCAAAGCCACAGTTCTTGGAGTGCTTTGTATTTGCGTTTCCTTTCATATCATAGATTCAAGAGTGCGAGAATTCTTCCTGCTATTTTCATACTTTTTGTATTTCTTGGAATCAACTGCAGCAACGAGAAGGACTTAAAATCACGACACTACTGTGAAATATGTTATTTTCGTGTGTTTTGAAGGTTTTTTTTTTTCCCATCTAAGAATTTATCCAGAATGCTTCCCGATCAAAGTATTGAATTGCTGATATCACAGATTACAAGTTATGCTCGAACTCTTCGATGGCAGTGTCGTTTCAAGTTCGTCCCACGTTCCAAAGGCTATAAAATGTAACTATGATTTATGTATCGCATTGAATAACTGCACATTGTTTTGCTGGACAACCTCAAATTTATAATTTTCACTTTACAGCATATTCCTTTAAGAATATGAGCATCAATCATACATATGTAAAGAGTCAAATCCTCATTTTTGTTGCCATATAAAACGGATTTAATAACTTATAATGATCCTGGAAAGAACAGTTTAGTATTAATTTTTTTAAATTAATCTTTTAGTGATTATTGTTTTGGCTTAATATTAACATTGCCACACACTTATTATAAAAATAATATGTGTGTGTGGATCGTACACGAAATATCTAATTAGGTTATAAGATATCAGCCGGCAAACTAAAATGAGGGAGAAATGAATAGTAAAATATAGACCCTTATATAACATCTAAAATTAAGATTTGGATTAATACGATCATTAGTCTTTGAAAGTTAATCTCGTTTTAGTTTTGATTCCTAAAATTTTAAACTAGTGATTTTCATCTTTGAAATTTGACTTTATTTTAGTCTGTCTAAAGATTTCTAATCCTCAAAACAATGTTTTTTTGTTTTTAATTCCTAAAACAAGATTTCAATAATCAAAACCACTAAAATCAAAATGAGATTAAATTTTATAGATTAAAAATGGTATTAAACCCTTAAGGTTTTCTTTCATCCAAACATCCATGCGTACATCAAAATCAATGGGAGAATTGTAATGAAGTACCAAGTAAAGAACATAGTTACTAAAAAATCCTAATGACAACAGAACAACTTGCAATGACAAATTTTAAAGTTGAAAATGACAACAGAGCAACCTGCAATATAATCACTTGTCATTAGGCCTCACTAGCAATTATTTTCGTTTCTTACAAGATCTCATTGTAATTCTCCCAAAATCAATTATGAACCTAAAATTATAGTTATCTCATAAGCTACCAAATATCCCTTCATCAATATCCGACAAGAAAATCAGAAGACCTACACACATGTACACGTGTAATTGTGTACAGACAAACACCAACGTGGGAAAAGAACAAAATCTTACCCACATATATTAACTTTGGAGTAACAACCATTATTAAGCTGTCTTGGATGATAATAAGTAATAATAAAATGTTCGTACGTGGCATCTTAATGTACTTGTGTACGTTAATTTAATGTGACTGAGTTTGCATATTCCTTTCCTTTTGGTTCTATCTTACCCGAAGTTGGTGAATGTTCCCAAACATGCAGCAAAATCAATAACTTGTTCTGTTTTATTACACTTATTCAATGTCTTTCTTCACATGATCACCCAACATTTATTTGTACTCTAATAAATTACTTCTTGTGATTTGAGAATCCTATTTCTCCACCATATAGTACTACGTACATTTGTCTTGTTTTCCTCTTGTCTCTTTTCCCTTTACTTTTAGTAATAATATCACGAGTATAGTAAACATTACGTATATCTTTTTGTATTCTTTTACAAACCAAGAAATATATATTTATATATTCTATGATATCACCAAACATAGCCTTTATGCCGGCAGGCTTGAAGTTTTGGAGTTTCCAGCGATAATATGCAATACAAATCATTGAAACAATATGATTCCAATAGTTAATCATGAACT